CACACTTTTTTCCAATAAAATAATTCGCACGTAAACCAAAAAAATTTCCATACTTTATAACCACACCCCAAAAAATCACTATTACAAAACTCATTTTTCACAAAAAAATGAGGATCGAATAAAGACTAATTATTAACATTATTGTATCTTAATCAACTTTGTTTTGATAATAAAATATGAAAAAAACAAAGATTAGAACTGCAATCAATAAAAAAGTCTGGTACATTTCCACCGAAAAGGACGCATACGAAAAAAAAAGTGAGTGAAAGATAGCGGGCAAAATACATCACGTCAATCTAAGAACATAAAAGCAATCAAACAGATGCCACGGTTTGGATACTGGGTGTAGAATAGACAGTGCTGAGGCTGGCTATTTTATATACCATGTATTGGCTTTATTATACCATGGACGGAAGTAGCTAATTTTATATACCATGTATTGTTTGTTTTGGCTTATTCTACCAAAACAAACAATAAATAAGCCAAAGGTTATGAGCCAAAGCTGATATTCGAATTTGACAATAAAGCAAACAAACAACTTGTAGCGCTATGAAAGGACATCCCTCTAATCCTCTTTCAGCGTGCAATTAAGAATATTTATCAGATAAGTACATGTTTTTTACTAAAAACTTTAGCAATGAAACAGCCTTGTTAAATTATCAAGGATAAACATGATATACAAAAGTCTAGACAGACCCTGGGTACAAATCTATCTTTTTGTCCTGTAGTAATCATAGTTTGAAACTGGAACAGCTTTCTAAGTATTAAATTGAATTGCCCTAATTTCTCTTAAAAAAACAATAATAATCACAGTTTAGAAGATGGGTGTAGCAAAATTCTTTCTTCCTCGAAACTCATGAATGGGATTACAAAGAAGCAAGCAGCAGTTGATGGAGAAGATGAGGTAATCAGCACATGAAAGGCATATAATTGTTGCCTGCAAATTTGGTCCATTAGAAATAGTGGGAGATCCATATGGACAGAGGGGGAAAATTAGGAAGGAGAAAACATTTCAGGTAATCAAACGGTTCAAATTCAATAAAAACATATAGGAACGTTGAGGAGGAAGCATTATTGAGCTGAAGTATGAGAAGTAAGAAAAATTAGTTTCAAGGTTAACTAAGAAAAAGCTTCATACATGAAGCCATAACATAGCAAACAACTTCACTACAAGCATTATGGGAGGAACGCCGGAGAGTTTTGTAAATCAAAAGAGTCTGAAGGGAAAAGCAAATCAGAACCCTATGATCAGA